TTCTTACTCTACTTGCAAACCTAACCAAGATTAAATTGCTCACGTAAGAGACACAAAAGACGCAGGTAGGTATTTTTAGAATTATGCTAAGGGAGCAGGAACTAGCATTGGAGAACCGAATTTGGATGAAGGCAAGGATGCAGTAGCTTTTCTTGTACAGAAAAAAGAAACGCCTTTCGCAACGAACCACGATATAAAGAGCGATTAAGAATTCGCAATGCAAGTTGCCCGGTTCCCCCACTTCGCAATCTCTACTTAATTCCTCTCCATCATTATTATTATAAAAACGGTCATCTAACCGGCTCTTATACAATATTTTTCTCTGCATGGAAAAATATTACATCTTACTTTCATCAGGGGCTCTAGAAGTTCAGCAAGGTAGCACAAACGGATGAGTAGCTAGAAAGTTGCTTACAAACGAATCGAGTTTGAGAAATAATAAGACAAAGAAATCTTGTTGAAGTTGTTTAATTGCAAATATTTGTCGCAGACGGAAACAAGCTGGTTGTTGATCCTGCAGAGGTGTCTGTAATCTGGCCGGCTCTTTAACTTCTCTGTAAACGAATGGAGTTTGAAATGAAGTTTTTGACAAAAACAGGATCGTCAAGTCGAGTGCTTTGAAAATTAACCATTGAAGTTGCGAAAAGGAAGTCTTCTGTCTAGTGTTTTAAAATTCTTTGAGGGTCCATGATGGAACCTCAATAGTGGTCACAGTTATAGTAAGACAACTGAAGAGCAATCAAGGACTTAAAAAACTAACTTTGTTGTTCGAGTTTGTGCGTGGTTAAACCCTTTTCAAAATCGAATATCGAACGATAAAACGTCTGCTGAGCAAAAAGGCGTCTTCTCGAGTACTAGATATTAGACCACCATCAAACACACCAAGTTTTTACACGCAGCAAACAAAGACAAACAAATTGCTTTTCTTAGAATCCAGTTAAATACCTTTTGTTTCAAAAACCCATAAGAACACTTTGGACAACGAACACCATCTCGAGACCAGTTGAGCCCTTGCCTCCTAGTTTGAAATGCGCATGTTATATCGTCACAAACATAAAGAGGCTGCAAAAAAAAAAAAAAGCAATGGAGAAAAAGGTAATTATGATTGAAGAAACTGTAACGTCTAGTCAACTTAAAACTGTAACAAAATCCCCAGAAGCCACCGAGGATTCCTCATCTTATCAAAGCATTCGGCCTTAGATAGTAACTAGTTCTGCGTTGACTAAAAATTCCACATCAAATAACATTCAAATATCAGAGTCAGAACGACTGACAAAAGGTTAAGATGTGAACGGAAAGTTTTGTGAACATACGAAACTGAGTTCTCAAAACTACAGTAGGCAAAATGGCTTATTCAACACACTACATATTACCAAGTAATAACTGTTGATGTGGGAAGTTATTGCACATACGAGCTGGTTGTTGAAGTAACTCGAAAAAGGTAAAAATGAACGCGTGCAAAATGGACAATTATCTAACCATGTTTGGATGTTCAAGCCCTGAAATCGCAAAAAAAAGACGATTCCTCTTTAAGAAAAATAAGGCCGACAAAGTAAAAGCAAAATTAACTTCCTCTCTCGACTATAAGCAAAATGCAAAGCATTTGAACAAGTTTTTTGTAAATAACGGAAAATATTTACATCTCCAAGGAAAGGCTCTCTGACTGTCACTTCCTCGTTGCAATCACTGTACGGACATCGAAAAGTAAAAGGTTCACATTCGCTGAAATCTAACTGAGCACCTGGGGCGGTTTCACTCTGATTCTCATCAATGTGGAAGTTTATGCGAGCTCGATAGTTATTTCCATCCAAGCCTAAAATTGGTAATAACGAAATCGTTTACAGGCAAAAAATAAATATAATGAAGAATAAACGTGCCTAACGCTTCAGCAATCATAACGGTGTCAGTAAGCTCAATAGGTTCACAAAGACGGGACACAACAGGATGGATTTGCTGTGCTAGATAATAATGGGTGTCTGAAAAAAGAAAAAAAGCAGAAATATACCAGCATCTTCATGAAGTACTAACAATTAACTTTATAAAAGTGAAGGAAATCGCTGCACGTCTCCTTCAGTTACCTAAATGCATTTGAATAAATTTTTTCATTTCCTCATTTTTTCTCAAATACTGTTCAAAATCGAAATCAAATAAGCGTATAACTTCCTCAATAACAACAAGAGTAGAATTAAAAAGCCAAAACGTGTGGCTTTTCCAAAATTTGAGGATATAACTAAAAGAGCATGCAGCAAATTTAGACTGACATAATTTGACCAGTACTAGGAACAACAACTTAGAGAAGCGTTACTTCATCTAATAAATTTAAAAACTACTGTTTACCTATTTTAAGCTCTTTGTTTTTTTCCATTTCTGTCAGGTGATATGCGCGTTGAACGGCAGAATTACTGGTTCCATCCTAAATAAAGGTAGCCACAGTACAGACAAAATCTGTTTTTTTTTTCCAAAAAAAAGCCTAAACTTTGAAAGTTAAAAATTGCAATGAAAAGCCGAGCTGTTCATGCCTAAAATATAGCTAGAATAATATGCTATAAGGCCTGTTTACCGATAAAGAAAAAATAGACATGCCTCACATATGACGTAAGGAACAATGTCGCCACGATGGAACCGAAAATCGCCAGTAGAGTTCAACCTCTGCGCTACGGCAACATGCGGCTGTGTCTTGGCGTCTTCATAATCATCCACACCTCTAGTTAGCTGCTAAAAAAACAAAAAGATGCAAGAAAAAGCTTGCCAATACTGTTAAAGACAATGTCACTAAAAGCTCACAGGAAAAAAGAAAATTTTGAGGAAACAATGGAAGACTATGTGATGCTCTGAACACTTTTGGCCAGCAAATGTCAGTTTTTGCAAAAGCAGAACAACAGCAAATTTTTGTTCTGAATAACATAACAAGAGATCAAAAATGGCACAAATTCACTAAGTTTAATAACTTACTAGAATGGTAATGCCACGAAAAAAGTTTGAACATCAAAAACACGCTAAACTGCCTAAACTTACACCTTTCTTTTAAAAATATGCATCCATCGCAGGTAGCATATTCTCAGAACTATTTTCTTTTAAAAAAGTTAAACAAGTTAAAACTACACGCAGGATACCAGTTCGCTTGAGTTAACTCTCTCTACTTCTTACCACTAAGAGAAGTACCTTCAAGATCTGGAATTTAGAGTTCTCAATTTTTCCTGCCCTCAAACTTTCCCCAAGGGCACCAAGAGTTTCATGGATCTTTCCCACCATTTCCGGTTCGTCAAGATCAGACAGAATAATGTCAACAACCTCCCTGAAAATGTTGGTTTAACTGTTCTTTTACAATAATACCTCCTTCTCATACACTCTAAAATGCAAAAAAAGACATGAACGTACCAAAGGGAGAGATAAATGCCATCTACTACAAAGTCGCCATTAAATAATACAAACAGGAGCATAAAAAAGACAGCAAAAGCGAAAACCAACATCCCTATCTCCTTTGCAAGACCTGACCAGTCACGACGAATTATATCTAATCCTTTTGCTTCTCGTTTCAGTTTCCCAGTGCTTAAATCAACAGCAAGTCCAACATATTTCTTCTTCTTCAGCAATAATAGCCGTCTGTATACCCCGTCTAAATCAAGCTCAATTGCTTTATATCGTTTGTTAATATTCTTCTTTATCTAAAAATGATTTTTATATAGGAAGTCACCACGTGACATAAAAATCAAGTTATAAAACTAAAAATTTCACATACTTCGTGACCAAGACGTTTGACTTGTTCTAAATCCAAAAGTCCTGTATCAATCATTATAGAATCTGTGTCCCCGTAAATAACAGTATAACCAAGTTTCTCTACCGCATCCTTAGTAGCCGTTAAGATCTAAAGAAAGATACAACAAATGCGCAAAAAAAACTACAATCAAACAAGCAAAAGTAAAATTCTTATGTAACCTCTCTTCCTCGAAGAGTTATTAAAGCAGCAAGCGACTTCGCGTAAAAACGTGACTGCACAAAACCTAAGCAACCATACATACTATTCGCTGTCAGTTTCAAACCCATTTGACGTATGTCATACTAAAAAATACGAGTAGGTTTGAACCCTAAGAGCCAAAACGACAACCAGATTGAAAACGTTACTTGAGTCCGCAACTGCTCAGATATCCTATCGGATTTCATCAACTTTTTCACTTCACGGCGCCGCTCGATTAGCGCACGGATTTCCCGTGGCAAAATACCCTCTTCCGAACGTCCTGTCAAAACAGCAGGAGTTTCATTTTCCTAAACCAGTGCTCTTCAATAAAGACACAATTACTTTACGATAAATGACATAAAAATCTTAAGCCGCAAATGTTTACAATTTAATCAGAAACGCTACCGTATCATTCTGAGCCACTGTGGTGAAACAGATGTTGAACTCTTGTATTATGCTGGGGTATAAACTGTTGAAGTCGAGGAGCAACACATAGTTGTTGTAAAGGCCTGAGAAATCACAAATGAGAATGCGAACCAAACCCAAAACTCTAACATTATTTAAAAATCCTTAACCTTTTTTTGGATCAAGCACAAGCCCTCCTGAGTATTGTGCTTTCCTTGAAGACTTCTCATTTACTTCACCCTCATCTCGAGCAACATTCTGATCTGCAGCATCAAAACCACTTCTAATGATTCCTTTCTGATATTTGTCAGGAGCCACATAACCACTTTTACGAAAAGCATGCAGCAAGAGATACTCATTACGTTCGGCTCTGCCTCCCATCATCGTCCGAGACTAAATAAAGAAACTTATCTGTAAGAAGGAAATAAAAGCATAAAAAGCATCCATACAAGAAGCAGAAGTACAAAGAAGAAAATCATGTATAACTAGTGGAAACCGTACCAAAACTCCCCCAACAATCTGCGTTATTTTCACGAAGAGAGGCAAAGCATTCAAACGAGCTATAAGTGAGAAAGACAACCACAACTCATCAAATGAAGAACTGATTAAACTCACTAGCCCAGCTGCTGAGCTGCAATAAAACTTCTTTTATTCAACAAGCCTTTTATAGGAAACTAGCCATCATTCGTATCATATAAGTCTGCACACTCTTTAAAACCGACACCCCAAAATTTCTTCGAATTGTCACTCAGGAGGGCTCGAAATATCAGAGAAAGAACCTCAAAAAATAGTTATGCCCCATCAAACTCGTAAAAGTTGTTAGGCTTCTGCTGGTCATGATTATCTCCTCAGACTTGTAATTCACCTCGGCTTTGATAAAACCAGACTGCCTCTACTTTTTTGAGCTTAATACTTCCTTTTTTTCTGCTCTTAATCAGAAACTTCTAGTTTTTAGAAACATCGCCAGATGCAGCAAATTAACAGCTCAAAAACGTTTCAAAAAGTTCCCCTTAAACTGCAAAAGAAAAAAAAATTTTTTTTTTTTTGAAGAACCTTTTATTTTACAGAATTACAACTTGGTAATGTCTTTTCCGATGAAAGCAAATATTGTCTTAGAAAGCGAGTCGAGGCTGATAAAACCTGCTGTCGTTAAAATAGTCGTATGCATCATGTGGTAGAGGAATCATCGCCTACTAGAAATCTCCTTCCAAAAACAGAAGCTAGCCGTTCTGAACATTTACCGCGTTTTAAATGAGAAAATTCATTTCAAAAACTATTACTATTACCGAAATATTAGCAAATTATTACTGCTCAAACCTTTAAAAAGACGTCTCCAGTCCAACATACTATGCTTTGTAAACCTACTGCTCAACTTTAGCAGGTCGAAGAATATTGTTTTGGAGAAATCTTTCCTAACGTTGATAGAACAACGGTAAAACTTCTTTAGTCCCAAGGATGTAGAAAGCCTCAACAAACCCTGGTGGTAATAACGTCCGCTCCCAATATTATACCAACGAAAAACCTATTTTGCTAAGTTTTTTTGGGCAGACGCACTAGTGTCAGTATTTTAGAATTGAGGAAATTACTATTCTAACCCTTTTAGTGCTGACTGTACTTCTTGTATGAATTTGTTAAGATCCCATATTTGTGATATTACGGCAAAAGAGGTCAGTGAACAAATGCTGACTTCAGCTAATTCCTGTATGTGGGAAAAAAAACGCTGATGATGCGGATAGTGGCAGTGCTTCTGACAGCCTAAAAAACCGGACTATCAGAAATACCTTTTTAATGATGACATCTCAGGCGCCAATGCTAAAAACTATTTGTGGCTACACAATAATGATTTGCTAATATCTTCGCGTAAAATACTTCTCATAACAATCTTCCAACTATTAACACACACTGGTTATTATTAAAAACGATTCATACTGGCATTCAGAAACAAAATTTGTCGCCAATAGCAGAGCTCATGCGATTAATTAGACGGTAATTAACCATGACCACTCCTGCTTCGTTCTTTAGTGTACAACTCTCTGATTTGCCAGAGGTACATCGATAAACTGTAACTCTATAAAGCGAAAACCTCTACACAAGACATCTATCTTAGATTTTACATTCGCTACATATACCTAGTTCATTTTGAGATTAAAAGCTGTCACATTTGCTCAAAAACAAAAGGCATGTGGAATCCAGGGAAAAAAAATAATGACCTGCAATAAGCTTTGACCGAACTATAAGCTTGGGAAGATAAGCGTTTTCAGCAAGAACCTCATAAATTCTGTGACTTTTTGAATTTATGACTAAGTGCCGTATCCGCTCTACTAAGTTCTTTCACCGATTTTTCAAATTTTATGCCCAACTCAACGAATTTGAGAAAGTGAATGAAAATTGGGGACTTGGTGTGAGACGACTACTATATACACAATATTAAACGATAGAAGAATCACAGTAAAAAGTTTTGAATAAAAAGAAACGCTATTGTTTAAAATCTTACGAATAGCATGTGCTGATACTAGTGATCGGTTCCCAGGTAAACTGAAGAACAGATTCAGCTAATTCCACTAGATCATAACTGCGCGACCTGATGAGCTCCATAGAGGAAGATCTAAATTAAATTGAAACCGGAAATAATGTAAAAAAAGAGGGGACTTCAGAAAGAAGAGGAATGAATCTAATACTGAACAAATAATGCTCCCGAGCAAACAAGAAATGGTTAATTTACCTACTATCCAAAACAAACCGCCCTGCGTTAAAGCCCCAACTTGCGGCTTTGGTGTGGCCCAACTGTTTAATTGCGATAGTTCTTCTTAAACGACTTGTACAAGACCAGTTGGCAATTTTCAGTTTTTCTAACCGCGATGACAGTACGGAAAACTGAGCTCCCAAATCATGACCCTGAAAAATAACACGAAAACTAAACTTCACGAAAAAGCCCACTCAGCGGATTTTCGAAAAAATTTTTCTTCAAATGACATACCAGATACGCATCAGGATCCAAAGTCTGGATTTTGCACAATAGCTGGCTTAGCAGATGGCGCTCATTAGATGCTTCTTTTACATATTTCTCAAGTTTACTTTGTGAAAGATGAGTTTTTAAGCTAAATGGAAGCACCTTCCCTGCGGGCTTTGTAACGACTGAAATAAATTTCATGAGCAAAAACACTACTTCGACACTTTGAACAGACTGTAGTGAAACATACAACAAAGCCTCTCCAATCTGGATGTATCAGCAGTTAACTTATCTAGTTTACAACTGCTACTGTAAACACAGGAAACCATGACAATCTGAAAACAGATGTAAGTAATAGAGAAGAATCTTCACTGAGTAGCTCAGAAAGATAAGTAGTTATAGTGTTACACATGTTCTTTTTATCCCTATATAATATGCTTTCAAAAGCACCTCGTTCTCCGCCTTGTCATTGACGACGGATATAATATTTAAACCTAATATGTTAATTGTTGGTGGCGGATCGCTGATATCTAAAATACTGATCGATTTCATTCGCTCCCCATTAACTATATACTCATGCTTTGTATAACTGACTCGGGGTGCTGACTCCACTGAAATGAATAGAGTGTTTAATGAAACGGTCCTAAACCCGAAGAAGTCCACACTGACGAATAAATTTTATGAGCTGATAAAGAACATCTAAAGCATTTTTCGTGAGAATATTCTTAAAACATTTCCTATCTTTAACCAAGCCTACCTGCTAAGCAAATGCAATCAACAACTTACTCCTTAAACGTTAACCTCCTCTACAACAACGACCAGTGAAAATTAATACAGTTCTTGGCCCTCTTATAATCTAGCGCCTTTGACAAAGCAAAATTTAGTTGAAAGACTTACTGCATTCAGATACTTCAATCCAGCAAGGCCCCTTCAACTCGGCTTCAAGCAGAAGGCGTTCCATAGCTGTGGAGGTAGTATTGAAAACGTGGGTAAAAGTTTCACCTTTTAAGTTCGCTGGAAGCGCCGGATGTGCACTCTGCAGTATCCGATTACTTTTAAGTAGAAGCGAAAGAATGTAACAAAACTGAGAGAAAAGTAAAAGAATAAAAAGATTAAGTGAGGACGTACAGAATACTGCACTTCAAGCACAGAAGCCTGAGACGGAATATTGCCGTCATTAAAAGCAAACTTCTTGTCCACAAGCTGTAAAAAACTGGCGACTTAAACCACCACTTTTGTGGCAAATAAATACGAGTAATACTCTTAAAAAGTTACCAAAAAAATATTCAATTCAACAATACGAATCTTCTAAGCACTAAAAATGTATTAAATGAAAAATACATCATTTTTCTAACTGTGGGGTTCAAAGCGAGCATTTAGAAAAACTAGCCCTGCATTTCACTGTAGTTGCTCCTATCTTCTTCAACAGCGAGTGCACTTCATTGTAAAGTGACGCATTAATAGCGTTAGAAGCGTCGCAACACGCTATCTAGAAAAGTAAATTCGTTAATATTTTTACAAAGTTTAACGAGAACAATGGAATAAAATAACCAACAGAAAAAAGTAACTACTAATCAAAAAATAACCGAAGAAATACCGATTCGTTCGGTAAGAAAAAGATTTGCCGCCATATATTTTTCACTACTAGGCAACAGCTTTCAGATTTACCATTATTTAACACGCGACCAAAAATATATACAGTTCCTAAAATTAAATGCTTTAAGCGAATACCTCAAATAAGGAACCATTTACAATCTGGAACCAAAAGCAATAACTTAAATGAAAACCTGGAAATCTGATGGGGTCTTCAAAGGCATCAAGCCAAAACATTTTCACAGAAATTTTGCCTTCAAGCTTCTCAGAGAAAAACCGTGCCTCACTGCTGCCTGCTTCAACTTCCGCGATCTCTTCCATGTTCCCAGAGAGATTACCAGCTCCCAAGCTGAATCAAAAGAAAAAATGACGAAACTGGCAGAAAGCATATCAGAAAAAACTTTTCGCCTAATACTACGTCACGCACATATTATTTAAGAAGAATACGCATAATTATCATAGGAGAAATAGTTCAGAAAGTGAAGTTTTACTAGCGCTTTCTCAAAACTTTATCAGGTTTTTTTAAGCAGACCTGTGCTGAAAAAGATTATTTCCATCACTTTAAAGAAGAAACCAGATTACTGTGCTGCAGATTAAAAATTAACTATGATTATTAACTTAGCTGACTCCCAAGCAGGAATTTTATGAGCACACAGCAGTTCATCATTTTCTTTTGCAGGGTCATCGAATATCACTTCATTTATTGAGGGTTTATCATCAACACCACCAGCAACTGGAAGGGTCCTCGTTTGAGTTTCGCGACCACACAGTAATCCATCATTGTCTTTCAACGGATTATCCAATTTCGTCTCGTTCAACAGAGGTTTAACATCAAGGCCATCAGTAGATGTTTCAGTCCCCATGGAGACCTTAGGAGCGCATAATCGCTCATCAATTTCTTTTAATTGATTACTAAACTCCAACTTATTTGTCAGAGGCTTCACATCAGGAAAATCGGCATGTAGCACCGTTCTTTTTGGGATTTTACAAGCTAGCGATTCGCTATTTTCCTTCGAAGAACTGTTGAATTCCACTTCATTTAGCAAAGCTTCAACATCAGGATCATCAGCAAGTGACACAGCATTCTGAAAATTTAGCAGTAGCTTTAGTTAGTGGGAAGAACAATAAAAAAATAAAATTTTGATCAATAGTTCAAATAAAACTAGGTGCAAAAAAACTAAGATTTACAAAAACAGATTTCAAATGCAGCCGAACTTCTCCCCAACCTTCCGATGATAAATTACTGATTAAAAGGGACTTTTTCGCCGAAGGAGTAGCCAGAAGGAAAGATGAACTAAGGGAAAAGTAAGACCCTATTTTGGCTATTTCAATAGAGGAACAAGAGCTTTGAATGTTCTGCCAATCTGAGCAGGGATTAAATAATGCTTTTTTCAAATGGTCGATCCAAACCTATTGCAATCTACTCATTCTTGAAAATGATTTGTTGAGCTTTTTGAGGAAAAGCCTCTCAAAAAGAATAACCGCCAAGAACATGGTGTTATAGTGATATCATACCTAAATAATACCTAAAATTTTTTTCAAAGTAATGAATAATGCCAAGATTTTTAAAATGTGCAGTAGAGAACTTTTTTGTTTATAGCCTCCAAAATTCTTCCCGAAGCACGATGGTCAGCTCAGGGTTTTAAACTTTTATACGTGTCATTTCAGTCAGGCATTACTCATTTAACCACTCTATACGTCTGGGATCTAACTAATCCGGGAATTTTAAAGACGAAAAATAAAAAATACTAAAATGTTAAATAAGTTTTTAAAATACAAAAAGGGTACCAGCTTTTGTACTATTGATCATTACTTTAAAAACTATGCAAACTAATTCGTGGCTGTTGTCACAGGCTTCACCATTGTCACTTATAGTTCCAGTGACATACTTCAGTACTTGTCAATTAAATCAGGTCAATGACACCAAAAAAAAAAGTGGAGTCGTAAAAAAAATACAGTCATGATAGCTCAGAATGGAGTGGCAAACTAACATCGTCCTTCTTTGCTTTGGGAACTGAGGAGAAGAACTCGGCTAATCGTTTGCGTTTTCCTGCAAATTTTAAAAATTAAGGAAGAAAAATCACTGTAGTAGTTTATAACATTCAGTGTCAAGTTTTGTGTAACGAAAAAAAAAAAGTATTGCGAAAAGGAGTAAAAGAAAAACAATTAATGCTGAAAGCTTACTCACTAAAAAAATTCTAAAAATTTTGGAAGCAAAAAAACATGCGGTTATTTTAAACTCATTTGCTACCACGTTACGATAAGAACGAATTATACAGTGATGATCCACTCAGTTTAAACAAGGAGCAGTGTCAAAAATGAAACAGACTACGTCAAAGACCTCGCTAACTGCAACCGATTGGAACATTTCTAAGGAAAAATTCAAATTTATGAATATACACAAGTTAAACTGAACATTTATCATAAATTAGTTTCAAAAGCTCACCTCCCTTAGCCTTCTTTTTCCTTGGCTCGTTATATTCCTCTACTAATTCTTCATCGTCAAAAAAGTCAAGACCATGATCGACGTAACCACTCCCATCTCAAATTAACAAATTTGTGGTCAGGCATGCAAGAAACTTAAAGCATTGAATTAAGCTAGCAACAAATACGGCAAATCAACCATCATCGACGACAAAATCATTCTCTTGTCTTTCTCGAATAATTTTCTGGTATTCATCCTCATCAACCTCTTCATAAACAGGTTTTTGCAAAGTACTGACCTGAAAATTAAAATTAAAAAATCTTTAGTCTGGCAAAGATCAACGGCAAGCGATGTCGAAAGAAATTTTAAGGTTTTTCAGAAAATTCTGTAGATCATCGAGAGAAGCCATACGTCACGTCGACGAACGCGCCCCGTCTTATGCGCTTCCCTGATTGCCTCTAAAGCAGCACTTTGAGCTTCGCCATGTCGGCTTGTACGGCTTCGTTTGCTGCTACGCACTGCAGTTGCACCGGTTTTTGAGTATGGATTACGCACTGTAATCTCTTCGTCATCCGATAACATTGGTTAATAAATAAGTCCTGCAGTGAAGAAGTATTCTGTCACTTAGAATACCGAATAAGCACGGTGGACTGCACTAAATGGACCTGTTCTAAAGCTGTACAACTTCTTCATAATTAGAATCATAAGAAAAGAACTGGACTGTGGTAATTTCTGATTTCATCAATCTAATTAAAGAGAAAAAAAAAACAGAAACATCCAGTTATTGCTCCACCTGAAATGACATCAAAAAATTTAAAAAAGGTCTAAGCGATAACGCATTAGTGTGCCACAAAATAACACTTGATAACTTTTCTTTCTGTTGACTTTGTACGGACATTTTTCGCTGACAAAACCTTTCAAATTGTCACTTTCCCGCCTTGAGAAAATGTTTAGCGCGAACTCAAATTTAGGGGTTATGCTTTCAAATTTGATTTCACAGCTGATTTATGCTGAAGCAGGAACATAATATTACTCGAACAGCAGGTGTTCTTCTTTTTTAGATTTTATTCTTCTGTTCTTGAATTTTTGGACGATTTAGACGTGGGTTATTTATATAGATACAGTTTTCCGTAGCTTTTAACAGATGTGTAGCATCGAAATTAAACAAGCCGCCTTTTAAATGTTACCGCATAAGTGGTCACCATTTAAAAGATTTGCTCAAGCCGTAACGCAAAACTTACCAGCTTACGGGCCTGATTTAAATACCGCATTTGATAAAGACCTTAGTAAGTATAACGGCAAGATCATTACTAAACTTTTTGTATTGTCATTTGCATTCTCCACAGTTCCTACACTACTGCTGCTGCAAAATTTTTTATTTTTGCAATATGTTTTCTCCTGGTCTGTACAGATTGGCTTTGTAGATTACTTGCCATACATAACCAATATTCCGAGTTGCACTGGTCTAGAATTGCCAAGTTACTCTTTATCAAACGGCTAAATTTGTTTCGTTTTCCTGCCCTTGTGTTATTTGGAGAGGATGCGGTTACTAAAGTTAGATCGCATAGGTCTGAGATTCATTGAAATAAGTTTACATTTCCATATAAAACAATTTATAGTATAGTTGACTTTGATATATGTTCCTTAATTTTTGTTTGCTACACTGACCGTAATATTAAGTCTAACTGCTTAAAAAATTGTTGTGACTTGACTTTATAACGGAAAAAAAAGGGCAGTAATTTATTACCTATTTTATACCTATTTAGAACCCGTTTCCGTGAAATATAGCGTATGTTGAAATAACAGGAAACTCTCTGTTTCGGCAAATGCCGTATTTTGAATATTTCGAGTAAGTATTTTGTTTTTTGATCATTAACTTGATTTGGATCTTTTTATCTTTATTTCTTATTGATGTATTGTTTATGCTTAGTTTAGTTTTGGACGTGCGTATTTTATTATTTGCTTCCATTTTAAGAAGGTTGTGCTTTTCAAATATTACCTGTTAATGAGCAAATAATAAGCAACTAAATAAACAGATAATTGGTAGCGTTAAACCGTAATATAGTAAAATAACGATGATTTGTTTTGCTTCAATTACAATCAAAAAACTGCTGGAGTTTTAGAGAACTATGAAACAAGTCCGCCTTATGGAGCAACTCGTTGCGCAGAAAAAAGCAGAGAAGAGATAGCTTGAAATTTTTTGCTGTGACGACTGTACCCTTCAGCTTTTTTTTTTTTTTTTTGCTTTCTGTGAGTTATCTTGGGGAATTCTCGGTTGACTGAGTGAAATTTGAGACTGTTTATTAAGGCATACGGTCAGAGAGGAATTTATTGAAGAGGCGCTGAAAAAACCATTAAGGCACACTGCCACAGTTTCAGAAGTACTCCTACGAGTAAAGATCGGTTAAGTTTTATTTAACATCCTTTAGAAGTTGGATTGGTACATGTACGTCCAAGACGTTTGCCAGGGTATGTTGCTGCTCTACGCTTAAGGAGGTCCTAGTCGCCTGACCTAAATTCTACCGAGAACCTCTGGGGTGGAATTAAAAAGGTGCTTCGCAAAAGAGGCCTGGTACTGGCGTTAGACGAATTAGTAACCAAAAAGTGACAAAACATTCCATTATCAAGGGGCGAAAAGCTGATGGTCAGTAAGCGCAGACGCTGCCAAGCTGTCATCAAAAATGACAGTATCCTCTTTCGCTATAAATGCCCCTTTTATTTGCATCGTCTTGTATTTTAAGCTTGTAAAACGTCTTTTGCCGGTGTATAGTATGTAGGGAAGATTACCTGTTTCTACTTTCACACTACTGAGCTTTACTTATCTCAATGAAATTTCTTTGAAAAAAACATCAAACTTTTAGCTCAAAATATATCGATGAACTGTAATTTAGCCGCGGCGCAACACTTACCAGTTTACGGGTCTGGGTTGCAGATACCTCGTATCTAAGACCACTTAAATCCCTATTAATGATTTAGATTCAGATAATTTTCCATATCTTTGATGACTACCAGTCTGTGCGTCTCATGTAGTGAAGTGGTCTGACTTTGTTTGGAACCGTAGGATCAAACAGTTCATTGTAGGTTCACTACGCTGTCTTCATAGTAGACTATTTTCTCCTTTTCATATTGTAAGATTATCTATTTTTTTAACAGGAGCGTAGTGGTGTGACTACTATGAGGGATAAATTTTTGGACGGGTGGGATTAAAGGTACAGACAGGGTTCAGGGTAAGCAAAAGGGTTAATGGGACTACTGCGTCTGTTTTTCTTACCTTAACTTGATGAGCAGAATGATATGCTATCATTTGATTTTAAGCAGAACACAGCGCCTTAGAGTTATATGTTTTTAGAAAAAGGCTGCGCAATATACTCCTGAAAAAAGCAATAATTAAATGTTTAATTCATACTGTGGTTTTACTCCGTAAAGTTGATCTAGTTTTTCTGAAATTATTTTTTCAGGTGAGTTGCGGTAATGGTGTACGCTTCATCAGCAAACTGGTCTGGGACCAAACGTGTTTCTAATTTACGATATCGGTTTGCCTTTTTCCTAGTTTTTTTTTCTTCTCAGCGCACTGATCTCACTTTTTTTTCATTAATTTGTGTTTATAACAGAAATAGTCTTCCGAGTTTTGCGTGATGAAAACTGACTCTATAAAAATTTGGTTTTTGCTGAACTGACTGTGATTATTTAGTGCTTGTAATCTTCGAAAAAAAACCTGTTTATCAAATAAAACAGTATTCTTTGTGGAAATTCCAATTTACTTGCTTACCTGAGTACAATAGTTCCTCCATCAACAATTCTACACAAATTTAGAAAGTTTATCATTCTTTTTCTTCCACGAGTTTTCGTAGTCGTTTGGTGTTTCCGAAATGAGGTTCCCTGTAAAGTTATAAGCCTGCTGAGCTTAGACCTCCCTGCAGTTCGATCTTCTTCACCAGCTCAACAGATTCGTCTCTGCTTTGAAACTCCGCCCCAGTGCACGCATCTTAAGTTAATTTTTGTAATTCCTTTTCTCACGCATGCAACTCAATTCTAAATTCTTTTTCTAGCGGTTGTATTGTGGGTGTAATATGCGGAATGTAACAAACTTAAGACTTTATTTGCAGAACTAATATTTATAAGTGACGGGCTGAAGAGCCAAACAAATAGCACAAATATAAAACATAAAACATATTCATTGATCTTAAATAGACAGAATAAAACTCATAAACACAAAAAAAAAAATCCTCTGCGTGTAAAACGCGACAAACTCAGAATAACATCTACAAAAAATCTGGGAAATACGAGACTTAGAGTCACTTTTGTCTTCCACATTTTCCTTCTTTAAACCTTAATATCTGGACCAACTACTTTGTCAGCTCTGCAGAACATACTAAAAGGTAGAGTATGACCAGTAAAGATAAGAATTTAAAAAGTAAAGCAGTTTCACTCTCATTATTAAAAAACGAAATAAGTAGAACTGTTCATGGTTGATACCAGCTACTGCTACACAACAAACTATTACCAAAAACAAATGTATTGGTAGTTCCTCTCCTACCATAAAAAGAAGTTAAAACCCACGTCGTCCCTTAAATTCGTACATGAGATATCTCTTTTTAGGCTATCATAGGGAAACTGCGACAGTGAAGAAAAACAACTTGTGAGAAAACCGTTAAGAGTTAAGATCATCACACAAGAAGGCTCAACAATTTCAACTTTTAATTTCAGCCGAAAAACTCGTGTTGCCTTCTGATGACATACACACTGTAACGTAGCAAATTTCTAGAAATGTCTAGTTAATGCCACTGCGTTCCGATCGGACCGCACACACAAAGGAAATAGTGATCGAATGCCACATATTTTTATAGATGGCGAAGGTGTGTAGTACTCTTGTCGATACGGCTTTACTCCATCAGGTCTTCCCTTTAGATTTTTGAAATTTTTTACCTCTTTTCTGGGAGGCTGCTGGTTTCCTGAGAAGTCGAAAAAAACCCAAGTTTCATTAAAAAACCCTGAGTGGTTCAAAACTCAAATATTGTACCTTCAGGAAAAAGACATTCCTGTTCATTCTCCAGGAAATGAATTAAACATGAAAAAATGTGAGACACAATACGAATGAGCGGAAGCACAGGAACAGGTTCAGAAAGGTTTAGGTTATCCAAAATTTCGTTCCATCATCACGTTCGTAATACTTAAGAACTAAGCTGTTGGAATTAAGCCAACATTTCGCCCTCTGCCGGATCTCGCAGTTAATTTGGAAATAAAAACGCCCACACATCTTAACGGCGCTGCGGAAGTCACAGAGCCAAATGGATACCCCGCGCGCAACCGCATTAGTATACGTCCTCGACCACAGGCTTATCTGGGCCCAAAAAATTAATTTGGAAGTCATCCTCCTCGAGAGTTCTGCTTATTTGGCATTTAAGTTGCATTTTGGATGCATCTGAGGATTCCGCAGGTAAAGGAGAGGCTTAAGGTGTAAATCCTGTCGTGAATTAACAAATACTTGATGTTTTTGCTGTTGTCTATCTACGTTGTTAGCGCAGTTCCCTTTTAAACCCACTAACTACCGGTCGGATACTTTTATGGATGGTGAAAGAGCTTAGCGCTTTTGTCGACAGGGTTTTACTCCATCCGTTCTTTCCTTCGGACTTTTAAAATTTTTTGTCGCCTATGTTTCAGGAGGTTGGTTGTCTTCCGGGGGATGGTGATAGTTTTCCCAAAGCTTACCATACAACACATTCTATACGCACCCGCCAGCTGTAAAAGTTCCCAACTAGCGTAAGTAACTAAAATGAACACTTACTACCTTCCAGTTATTCACTATTACATAAGCCTCTATTTAGCTTTTTTTCAGAAATAGTATTTTTCCATTTCTGGCTTTCTTTTTTGTTCTTGATGAAAAAAAATTCCTCATTTGGCGAGATGCCAGCGGAGCGGATTTGCGACTTTCTGGACTAGCTTTTTTCTAAGGTATAACAGATGCTGTTTTGTATAAATCGAAGTCCCTTTTTTTTTGGGAGGGGGGTGGAGTTCATAAAGTAGTCTTCCACTTCTGATGTGAAAAAGCAGGGGTTTTCATTAGTGCTCAAAAAAACTGCCTTTTTTTTGTGACTTTTAAGTCCAAGGCAATTTGATTTGTGGAGGAGGTAAGCTCAGTTCGCTGGTTTTTTGCTTTAAGAAATACTAACACGTTCTCTTCCCGGGGCAGTTCCGTTAGCACTAGTTCCAGATTTACTGGTTTTTTGGAGAAGCCTAATAATGCATGGCTTAGAATCACCCAGTAATTCCTGAAGTATGCATGGCGTGTGTTTTTCGATTTCTAAGTCAGAGAAAAAACTTTATAAGCGTTCAAAGAAAACCGACCTGTTTACTTAAACTACTGTAATTGGAAATATAGCTGGCTGCTTAAGAATCCGATGGAATAACGAAGTATAGCTCAAAATTTTAAAGAACGGAAAGTTAAACTCCATTTATTTGTTTAAATGCCTGTCCTATTGCAGGCTCATTAAACGATTTTTAAATTTCTTAAGCATTTCAATTCATTGTTCAGGTCTTCTGATATCCAAAACAACGAAAGCACAAGGCGTGAATTTATTATCCACAGTATGCCGTATATTATTTACCACCTAATACTTCTTAGACATTCTATATTATTCATTTAATTCGTTGAGTCGCTTATTTAATTGTTCCTTTATTCTTACTTGTAAGCCCTTTGATTGAGCCGTTAATATTGCATCGGTTTACGTGCTGAACTTTTACCTTCACTAACTTGTTCTCGTCGCTTCTTAGTCTCTTATTTTCTTATGACCATTTCAAAAAGTGAACGGTTGCTGGTTTGGCGACAAATTTGAAGGGGAACTTTTATACTATATCTGGCCTCACTGTTTCAACGTTCTTTGTTAAATTGCTACAAATATATAGCTTTAATGAACTGCATTTGAGCTGACTTAATGTTTTGCGCTAGTCATTTGCCGAAGGATTTAAAACGTTATGTGAAACCATCTTTTAGGTTGGCCTCGAGCCAATGGAGGATGAGAGAGTCATCTTTGTTAGTGTTGTGTTTATCTTTTTTCAAGAAATAATTCTTGTCGAAGAAGGTAACAACCGTTGTAAGAGACGTGAAAAAGTGTAACATTTGTTAATACCTCAACTGCAATTTCATCCTGTAGGAAAGTTTGTGATTTAACCTCTAAATATTATATTGGTTATGATTAGTTGTTGCTGTGACTAGATTTTTGTTTTTGTTTGATTGTCTCATTTAGGTTAAATCAGTGATTGTCGAGTAGTGTAAAATGAAATTTCTTGAGAATGGGAAGGAGAAGGTCTGCTCTTGTATTGGCGGAGTCAAGCTCAGTAATCCTCTTACAAACTATAACCTTGGCTTTTAGCCATTGTCACCCTATATATATTTATGAATCCTAGTCCCCTTTAATATGGTTGTGGGCGACAGTAGTTTTCCAATTCACTGAGTTCATCAGAACAGAAAGGCTTAAATCTGTATGTCATTATTGTGAGTGTCATTTGGTTGTCGGACAGCTGAGTTTTACTCTAGCAGTTAGGTTAAGTTGAAAACTGCGATAATATGAAGCATTCGACAGATGAAAGGACTAATTGAAGTGAGATTTTCAGGGACTGTATTTATTTACTTTCTTTTCAATTCATTACTTTTCGTTTATTTTAATGTTTTTGGTGAAACGCTACGAAGAGTTTGATCAATAAGCCGACTTTACATGCTGGATTGGTTGCAGTCGTTTGTTCTTTATCAGGTGTTCGTTAATTCACAGACATCTGTTCATAGTATATAATTCTGCAATACTTAAGGTTTCAAATATTTTCATTTATATTTTAAAATTTTTTAAAGCAGCTTTTAGTTTTATTTTTAAAAAATACTTTTCGTCCAACATTTTTGAAAGATTCTAGTTTTCATTTACAGTAATATCT